CACACACACACACACACACACACACACACACACACACACACACACACACACACACACCGCCAGTTACAAGTGGATCGAGGCCAACCACCCCCTCCCCAAGGTGAGCTGCAGCCGCACCGCCATGCGCGCTGCCCTCCGCCAGCAGATGCCCCTGTGTGAGCTCCGGGTGCAGCCTCACATCATGTCGTTCTCGCCGCTGGCCCTCCGCCTTTCGGCCCGCCTGTTGGATTGGCTTCGCCCTCTTCTTTGAACGCACGCTCGCAGGCGCCCACAAGCATGCACGAGGAATGCGCTCCCCGCGTCTCCTGTCCCTGGATAATTTGCATCCGCATCTCCTGCATCGCCGCCTCACCACACATTCCCCTCTTCCCCCCCCCCTGGCCCCCCAGATGAAGAAGCAGGCCGAGAACCTGCGCTACATCATGGAGGCACCCAAGCTGGAGATCAGCCCCGACGAGCGCGTCACTATACCGCTGCTCAACAACCAGGACTCGTGGCGGCGCGACGCGTGAGCGCGTGCACAGGGGGAGCATGTCATACTCTTTCTGGCCGATCGCCCATCTGCCGGCCGCCCCTGTTTTTGCAAGCCATCCCATAATCTCCATTCTGCAGCCACAGCCACATGGGGGCATCTAGGCACCCGGCGGGCTCCGCACCAGTCCAAAGAACGATAGCAGTTGGCCCGTCACGCACAATCAGACATGCAAATCCCATTCCCGTTCCCGCCTTCACTTCCCTCACCCCTCCAGGCGCAAGGGGCAGTACAGCAAGAAGTCTGGTGGCGCCGCCGAGCCCAAGCAGGGGTCATACTGGGACCGCGTGGATTGGGACATCAAGGTGGGGGGGTGTGGGGGGCGGGGGCGCCACTGTTTGTGGAGGCCAGGGAGATTGCCTGGCTTATTGCCTGGTGTTTTCACCGATCCTTCCCCCCTCGCCTCCACCACCCCAGGTCCCGGGTGTGCCTGACAAGTGGTACTACAGGTGTGTGTGTGTGTGTGTGTGTGTGTGTGTGTGTGTGTGTGTGGGTGGGAGGGAGTGCTGTGTTGGGGTGGGGCGGTCTAGCCATGGCAAGGGGGGCCGACTCCCGGTGGTTGGGGCAAAGCAGGGGTTTGGGGAGGGGGCCCTCAATCAGCCACCCACGATTGTGCCAATGCTGTGTCTGATGTGCCCCCTCCCCCTACCTGCCTCCCACCCATGCATGCTGCTCTCCCTCCCGTCCCCCCTCCCAGGGTGTTGTGGGTGGCCCTCATTGCGGGTGTAACAGTCTACTTCAATTGGTCCGCACTGCACCATTGAGAGCACAGCGGAAGCACTGGGGGAGCGAGGCGGCAACACGACAATCTGCAGGCCGGTCGCCGCTGCCCCAGCAGCCCGCAGCCAGCGGCCGCAGCATGCATGGGCGCGCACTTTTGCGCTGCCGGCTTGGGCCGTGCTGAGGCTTCTGTCTTGGGTGCTGCTGCTGCTGCTGTTGCTGCCACGTCTACTTTCTTTGTCCCCAGAGCCCCCTGGACTGGGGAGGCGGGTGTCGTCTCGCTCCTCTCACCCACTGCTGCTCAAGAACCCTGTTTGCTGTTTGCGAGCGCCCGCTGCCTGCACACTTGCACGTTTGCACACCTTGTACGTCCCTTCCGTCCCCTTCCTTTGGCTGTGCCAGCTTGATTTGACTGTCCTGCAGGCTTGCCGTTGGCTGGCGGCCTATCTTTCTCAAAATCCAGGCAGGAAGCCTTTGTCGGAGGGGAAGCTCCGGCGCCTGGTACAGGCACCCCGCTCCCCTCCTTACTTGCAGGCCACTGCTGCTGCTGGCGTGCTTGCAAGAACGCCAGCAGCAGCAGAGTGGAGGCAGCACTGCGCGTCACACACCGGGCGGCACAGCGCTGCAGCGCAGGCGGCCTCCGGCTTGCGGCGGCTGCGTGCTGCCGACCCACTTTTGCGAAGTAACAGGACGAGTGTGTCCTGTTACGCCAGGACGCGTTACATGCAGACGCGCTTTTCGCGCTGGTAACACAGTTGTGATGGGTGATGTCACACATTGATAGGTGTGAACGCCAGGCCAGTTGAATAACAGACTGCGGGGCGATGCCAGCTGACAAGAATACAAGACACGGGGGACAACAAGAGAGGGGGTTTGTCCAAGGCGTAGCCCGGGCCTCTGACGCACTCGCGCCCGTCGCCGCCTCCACCGCTGCTGCTGCTGTTTGTTGCGCGATGGCATTGCCGCTGTGGGCGCGCCTCGGCGTTACCAGCCTAGCCGGCAGATGGGGTTGGTTCGCACCACATTGAGGCTCACCTGCAGGTGGAAGGGGGTACAGTAGAAGGGGGGTGCAATGTGAGGGGCAGGGGGCGCTGGCCGAAAGACAGGCACAAAGGAGGGATCGCGGCTAACGAAGGGCCTGAGCTACTTGAGCTATGGCGAATACCGCCATTCCCTCGGGAGGAGGTAGCCCGACTAGAAGAAAAGTACAAGGTTAGCGTGTGCCCAGGGCACTCAACCAGACAGCAGGGGGCTTGCGTTGCTGCAACAATCCCTCACTTCTCAACCGATGGCGTGGGATTGGGCGTGGGATTGAGCTTGGCGGCCCCTACCCTCCACCTCCCCCCCAACCGCCCCCTCACCCCCCCCCCACCTTGTGGCCGAAGAGGTCCCTGATGTTGTCGATGCCGTAGAGGATCATGGTGGGCCGCTCCAGGCTGAGGCCCCACGCGATGACTCTCACGTCTGGCGGCAGCCCCATGGGCTCCAGCATCTCGGGGCGGAACATGCCGCTGTTGCCCACCTCGATCCACTTGCCCAGCTGCTCCGAGTAGCTGGCGATTCAAGGAGGGATTGACGAGCGGATGCAGCGAAGGGGAATGGATTAGGGCGAGTGGGGTTGGAGTGGATAAGATTGAGTACATGGTTTGGGGGAGGGCGGTGTGGAGCGCGGCGGAGGGACAGCAGTGGGTCGGCGCTCTGGCGTGCGACGAAGCAGCCGCACAGGCGCACGCGCCCCCTCCTACATGGCTGTTGCGCTGCCGGCGCTCTCTGATCATGGTGCCCACTTTGCCCCCATCCCCGTGCAACCATGGCCCCCTTCCCCCACCTGAATATCTCCATGCTGGGCTCCGTGTAGGGGTTGAACGCCGGCTTGAAGCGCAGCTTGGTGAGGCCCAGCCTGCTGAAGAACTCGCGCAGCGTGCCGATGAGGTCACCCAGCGTCAGCCCCCGGTCGCACACCAGGCCTGGGGCCGGGGGGAGATGCATGAGCGTGGGGACGCGGGCCGGTGGGGAGGGCCGTTCAGGCGACAGGGAGTGAGGGCGGCGAGGCGGCCTCGAGGTTTTGCCACTCATCAGGAGACACGGGGGTCCTTGAGAGCCAGCTGGGCAGTGGCGTGATGGCTCTGCGGCCAAGGCAGGGACCATGGGCCCCTCAAAACTCTCGACGCTCGCACCTCCCGCTGCAAGACGCCCGCCCTCCTGCCCGCCCCCTCACCTTCCACCTGGTGGAACTCTGCCAGGTGCGTCCTGTCCACCGCCTCGTTACGGAATACGCGGTCGATGCTGTGTGTGTGTGTGTGTGTGTGTGTGTGTGTGTGTGTGTATGTGTGTGTGTGTGTGTGTGTGTGTCTGTGTGTGTGTGTGCGTGTGCGCGCGTGCGTGTGCAGGGCCAATGGTGCGACAGAGGCGATAGATCAAACTGCAAGGCCATGGTGTCATGCGGAGGGCGCCGTCATTGTGACGGGTTCGCTTGAGAAACACGACTTGGGCACGCCAGGCGCGGGCATGGCTGCAGGATGGGCCCGTGTTGCCCAGGCGCCTGCTCTCAGAAAGAGGGGGCAGGGGGTGGGGCTGCGGCGAAGCGTGCCGACGCTCCTTCTACACCGAAAGCCTGCTGTTCCAAGGACCCTCCCGCACCCCCCCTTCAGGTAGGAGGCCTTGCTTGCCTCCCACCATGCATGCGCCCCCACCTGAAGTACTTGGCCGGCCTGAAGCCCTCCTGCGCCAGCTTGTACAGCATGCGGCTGCTGACGGCGGTGGTGTGGGTGCGCAGCAGGTTCTTCTGGGCCTCGGTCCTGGTGGTGGTGTTTTTTT